AAAGGTGAGGTGAGTACTGTAAAAATAGTCGAATATGATATACAGTGGGGTGATGGTAGTTTGAAGTGAGAAGTCAACTGCCAGTTAATAGACTTTTTGCCGTATGAATATACGTTGCCCAGGGTACACCACGTGGAGGTAAGTCTATCGCACACCCCACGTCAAAAAATATAAAAATGACACATACACTTGTTTAAATGCGCCAGCCAAATAGAAAAAAGACAAAGACGATCTAGTCGTGAATGAGGATAAAGCCCCCCAACTTTTACCTGAACAAATTTGCCATTACACTGTGTCCTGTCATCTTTGTTAATACAAGTTGAAACTCAACCACTCTAAGGCAATAAAAAGCCCGATTGAACAAAGTAGTGTGCAACGCTACAGAAATTGACCCAAGGGATGTCGCGAGATAGAACCTTCTGGAAAGTGCGGTGTGCTGTGGAACGCGTATCGAGAGACCTCCTAGAAAGCCAATGATCAATATTCATGCAGCTTAGTGTTAATTGTGCTCATAACCACAAAAGCCTTCTGTGCTCTCACTACGTTGACATACCCTGGATAACATTAAAGTTTATGCAAAAGAGCCACTCAGTCAACTAAACTTTCGAACGTTTAAAAGCTAGTGCATTTCGGCACCGCTGTAATAGACGGCAGAATTTTGAATTCCAATGGTAGCGCAGCTAGCAAAATTTGCGTTTTCTGCAAACACAACTCACGAACATATATTATCACCTTCTTATAAACAAGTAAGTGAATCAATATTTATTTCAAATGGCAGGCGTTTTGATAGCTATCATTAGCCATTTAGCTGACTTCGGTTCATCAAAGTAGCAGAAAGTCGAGGGGTGGGGAACAGAAGAGCGATTCACAGATGTAATAAAGGCAGACAGACACAAAGGTAGAGAAAAAGGTAAGATGAGTACTGTGAAAGAGGCGGTTACAACTTTGCTAACGCGAAGAAGAGACAGAATCAAATTAATATTTAGAACTGTTTAACCCGGAGTTCACCTTGAATGAACACAACCCACGAGGGGAGCTTTGGTGCGTTACAAATTCAAACTGCGGAATATCATGCAGAATCGCCACCCTTCTCAGCCACTGGAATAAGAACTGAATTGAAGCTACGAGACATCCGTGCCAAATCCAGCCCCACTTAGCAGTGAAAATTATAAACCGACAATGTGCAATACAGAGGACGATTCGTGAAATTTGTATTTTTGAAATTAAACTATCTAGGTCTGAAATCGAATGAAGTAAGACTTCGATACCTTGCCATCGTTCAAGAACATCCAAATTCGGTAAACCCTGGGTTGACCTTCAATATCACAAGATTTTAAGTTACAGATATTAGAATCCACTGACGACAAGGAAACCAATCTATTGGGTGACCAACCAGGTACTTCCTTTTCAACGATAATGGATGAAATTTGTATGACACTCATTTGAACTCTACCTTGGACCACCGCCTTCAAGAATTCATCTTACGATTTGGTAAACGCTGAAAAGTTCAACTTTGTCCTTATTTCAAAATAGGGGGCAGTTCTAAAATAAAGAAAATTTATTGACCACTTAACGTGATCAGATGTATACACGAATGACGCAAAGCAACAGGTTCGAGTAAATATGACTAGACGAAGCAAATGCGAAATTAACGGAACTACAGCTGTGGTAGAGCTTTAGAAAAACATTATTATATTTTCAAAATATGGCAGTAACTACGATAGGACCATTTGGCGGTCACTAGGCGAGTGAATGAGTTCTCCTTAGAGGAAAAGAAGATATCAATTTGCTTGACACATTGTGGATTTCCTTAAGGAAACCGGACCTGTGTTCACTCTATTTTATGCAATGATTTTCGCTGGTGCACCTATTTATATATACACTTTTGCCCGTGTTTTTTCAGTTCATGTGTTTGAAAAAGTTGAATGAACTCTAAGAAACATTCCCAAAAGTAGCCCGGATAAAAACGCATCAGGACAGAATGGGAAAAAAGGGGTTAATGTATTGGCTTCTGTGGGCTTCTGGAAACCTCTTTATCACAGAGTATGAGAGAGAGACAAAGAGCCCAGTAAGATGCTTTAATTAGGAGAGAGAGGACAATGAAACGGTATTGGTCTCGCAGGTAGTTTTATGAAAGTACGGTTAGGTAGAGAGGAGTAAAGTCCCACGTGCAAGAGTGAGAGATAATGGAAAGGAGACACAATCGATAGCTTAAGAGAAGGGGAAGGGTCACAGAAAGAGAAAAGTGATAAAAGGCTTTAAAGTAGCAACCATTTTACTGCAAATATCGACTCTAATGTGACGATAACAACAATACCTTCTGAAGAGCAAAGAAATAAACCACTCACATTTCATTCGATAACTTGTTCGTGTGAATCCAGACGCACTAAATCATAGAAAGCGAAATTATCACATGCCTATACCTATTCTATGAGATGACATAGTTTCAAAATCCACGACTTCGCATATAACACTTAGGATGATAAGAAACTAGGTAACTTTAATTAAGCGGTGTACTTGTGTTACATCGTTTAGCGAAGATACTTTAAGGTCATTTTACACTCCAAAGTAGAATGTACCTCCAATCAGTGTGAATTGAGAGGCTTTTACCAATAGTAGCATTATTGACTAAATCAATGCGTAACTGTGGCAATCGAGGGAAGCTCTACGTTGAAGTGTTAGTTGCCTCTAGGGGCCCCCCTTTTCTTGGAAAATAGACAGGGGAGATAATAGTTCAAACGAAAGAGACAGTCAGTAAAATAAGGGCGTTAGAAGGAAAGGTGGACTCAATACTGCCGCAGTGAATCTCCCTAACGAAATCTAGCGTGTGCACATTTATTTTATGCAATGATTCATGCATGCAAGTAAATTTTTATAAATCTAATTTACGTTGACGCTTCAGTTTAGAAAAGAGTTTGAGATACACACACACACACTCGCACACATACACACATTCACTGATAACATAACATAGCGAAGATAGTAGAAAAAAGATCGATAATTCTTACACGATGTACAACCGACTAGTTGGTCATCATTTGCCAAACTATTGACCATCCCTGATGAGAAGGGAAGTTTAGTTGTTGGGCAAGGCTGTCTAATTACCCTTCACAACGGTAAAACAATGGGTTTACCATAGTGCCTATTGACTGTCTATAAACCCAGAACTCAACACAGGCCTGCCAAATTAACAACGCAGAATAGAAATGAATGAGGTGATTAGAAGAAAATTGGAAAAACGCAGAGCACACCCAGCAGAATGTTGAGAGTAAAATAGGACTCACAACGATGTCATGAAGGAATTAAATAAACTAGAATGAAATTGTCACACGTAAGTAATTAAAGTGCTATGTAGGAAAAGGAATTTCCCAGACCCAAATGGTAAATTAAACAAGTAATACGTTTGGCTTAGAGTATAAGAAAGCGAGTAAGGTAATGGAACCCGCATAAATAAATATGTAACTTTATCGATCAAATGGTAAAAAAGTGTCAACTAGATAGGAACTCAATTTTCGACTGACAATAAGCCTAATAACATAAAAACGGAGAATAGGCAAGGAGAGTGTAAAGTAGCAGTTTAAATCAGGAAAGCACGGCATTGCCTAAAATTCTATTCAGACGTTGAAATAATGATGGCGAAGATTTACAGACCAAAATCCTTCAATGGAGAACTCAAGACCGCAGACTCAATAGTGAAAAAGAGACTGGTTTAAACAACTCTAAGTGGATATTTACCCAATATATAATTTAAATTAATTTTTTTCCCGCTCCACATTTATGTCAAGATTAGCCAATGGAAAAAAATTCCTTTACTTTTAAAACAGGGAATTAAAATTAACACACCCGATGATTCACATGTGGAAATTCAGATTTTCCTATCTTATTAATATTCCGACAAAAAACTTTGCCCTTCTCATGGAAAAAAGTATAAGTACACCAGATACTCAAATTCGTCTTTTGAAGCGACAGCTTATCAAAATCCATGGCTGGGGGAAGGGAACTTTCAAATCAGCTTCCCAATTTAATTGATAGTGTAAGCCTAAAATGTGTAATACTAACTTTTGTGAACAACAGAATTCCAGAAACAATAGAGCCTGCGGTCGAGTAATCAAGCCAAGGTCATTAGCTAAATGTTCATCGATGCCCACACAGAGATATAGACGACTATTTCCGTGAATCAAGTCTGCTTAACAGGGGGAGGGTATATGTCTGCAATGAACGAAACGAAGATAGAACCTTCAAGCTTCAAGAAAATTGCATGAGTATTAGAAAGTAACAAGTAATATGAACACACAAAAATAAACATTTTCTTATGCATGACTGATAAAAAGCAGCAATTTTCAAAAAAAATATATTCCAATGTGGATAGGAATTGAGCTTAAGATTAAAAAGGTAAAGAAGACTCTTTAATCACGCATTACGCATTGGGGAAATTTACACAAAAATATGAAGATGCAATTCCGAAATGTGCAAACGACGATTGACTCATGTGCACTTAATAAGTACGTGCAAACGGCACAATAACGGAATGTAATAAGTTAAAGATTCCAACAACAGAAAAAGAGAAGTACATAAAAAGACCTTCAATTTTTTTAAAAAGCTTGTCAGATAAGCCTCCGCATTCCCGAAAATTGAAATAGAACATTTAAAATGTCGAAAACGAAATAGAAAAGCACCATGAAATATGCCATACGGTTTTAATAAAATTACTGAAAAAGGTCTATAGAATTCACAAATTGGCTTAATTCAAGAAACTATATCGAAAAGTATGAGCAGCAAATTCCAAACCGAAATTGAGAGATTTTGCAAAAAAAGTAAACCATACTGTTAGTTAAAAGCTTAAGTATGTAGTTAATTTCTGAGGGGTTAAACGAAATTGAGAAACTCTACTAATACCGCTTATAAATTGAAATTCGGCATATATCATAAAGAGCTCTAATTGAAAAAAATTAATGCAAAAAAGTATAAAATCAAAAGCGTGGGGTTTCAAAACGAGGAATTTAAAACACATACCTTCCTTCCTGAACATTTTGGTAGATTTTTCTGGCAGTTTCCAAAAAGACTTCCTCAACATTTTCACCACTACAATCAGAAAAAAAAACAACTAAACGAAAAAGGAAGTTAATACTAGAGCAAGAAAATTTCGAAAGATATATGACTGAATATGGATCTGTTCACGTTACCAAATAAATAATACTGAAAAGCTAAAACTTACGATTTGGCACTGCATTCAAGGAACATAAGGTTGTTATCATCTGCCAATTGTTTAGCATCTTCATAGGAAACATCCCGTTGTTCTTCCAAGTCTGACTTATTTCCAATCATCATCATAACTGTATTAGCTGATGTTAACCGCCGAGCATCAGTGAGCCAGTTTTGAATTCGCTGGAAGGTAGATCGCCGGGTAATATCATAAACAAGGAGAGTACCAGCAGCACCACGATAATAAGACCTAGTTACAGAACGAAATCTTTCCTGGCCAGCTGTATCCCAAATCTGAAGTTTAACTTTCTGTTCGTTAATTTCGATGATACGAGTGCCAAATTCAACACCAATAGTATGGGGGCAGTCGGGAAAGACTAAATATATAGGACCACTCAGAACCGGTACTTACACTTTTTCTCAGTAAATTGATGCATTAAGCAACTCTTCCCAACTCCCATTTCACCAACAATTATATATTTGAATATATAAGAGTAATTATACCCTCCACCGGCAGACATTGTGGCTTAATGTACGTAGGAAGAAGCGACGACTAAAAACGAAATAATTTGTCTGGGGCTCGTTTAGTGCAATGATTTAAAAGTATATCTTCAGCAAATTGAAGGTTACTTCATTAAAAATTTGGACTATTTATATTTTATAACAAATTATTTCGTTGATATTTAAATACATTTGAAGAAAAATAGGACCTACACAAAATCGAATGATTATTTAAATTTAACAGCAAACCTTATAATTAAAATGTATGTTTTGACTCAAATCTGCCCTTAAAATGAAAAAACAAAGAACTACCATTATCTGAAATTTCAAAGCACAAAACTCTCGTGCAATGAAAAAGTTAACCATACTCTTTAATAAAGTTATCAAGTACTCATAAATTGTAATGACCTCAGTCAAATGATTTCCTTTTGAAAGATAGAATTCCAGCATTGAGATTAGTTCTAATAGACTATTAATACAAAAACCCTTTTGTGTACTTTATGTATAAAAATTATTATTTGAACATCTAGCAAATTTCCTATTATTTTGCAATAATAAATGTGTATCTCTATTCAAATATTTGGTATTCAGGACTGTTAAAGGTACTGAAGAGTCAATAACTTTATAAAGATGTCATTTTTAAACGAACCATACATATCTAATATGCAAATTTTGAGAAATTAGATTAAACTGACTTAAAGAGGAACCCTCTGTAGATTCCCGAAACGATCTTTAAATAAGTGTACTTATTATTATAATATGATAATAAAAAATCAAAATTTCAACACCAACTAATTTGCACTTCCAATAGACCATGATCAATCTCTCATTTTAGTTGAATTGGAAACAATTACTTTTCACACTTAGGATAATTCAATTTATTAAATTAAAATATTGTCAAATTTTACCTCACAATAGATATTTAAAATATTATACCTCCCAGACAATATGCATAAAGAGGACTTTCATAAACCCTCTTTAGTACGTTTTTTGGTAAATTGTATGCTGGTTCGTTTAAATGCTTAGAGATTTGCATTCATCCTTTATTTCATACTAGAACTGTAAAAGATTTTGGGAATACCTATAAATACAGGCACCAGCGCGGCTGTGACAGAAAATATTTATCGTTAACCAAGCACTAAACCTATCTCAAAAGATTAGTTTGTCTTCTATGGTCTATTACCTCTAATAAAACGAGTCAGTTCTTCCTTAACTTCTAACTTAAGCAGGACCGGAACAAGGCGATCTATATTTAAGCTTCAACTGCTTCCTACTTTAATATGTTTGTGCTCGTGAAACCACTTTTTCTCAACAATTGTTATAAATCATTCTGAATACTGATCACAACACACTATTTGCTATAGTTCCCAAAAGCTTTGCCTTTTCCTAATTAGTCCAAAGTGAAACATATCGCTAGCATTAATACTAAAACTTTAGTTTAACATCAGCACAAATCATACTATTCTTCTTTACGCATTCACCGAGTTTCGGAGATTCCAATAAAAGTATTTTATCAGCATATGAGTCTTCACCCTTCTTAAACTTTTTAACTAGACAATATTTTTTTATTCCTATTTTGTTAAAATTCGGAAAGATTGAAGTAATGGAACATAACATGGAAATTTTGACACTATTTTTTTATTTTTACTTTTTCGACTTAAGATTTTCTTCTCGAGTAATTGCCACAGAAATGGTCACTGAAAATCGGCCTTCCCAAATTTCTCAATTCTGTGGATATGCATTTCATTATTTCCTTCCATTCCGTCAACCTCATCAGCGTTGGCACATTTTATCCGAGAACTGCATTTTTCAATTAACGGTTTTATAAAGCGTTGTTATACGCTACTGTAACCGTATCTTGTGAGGAACAGCATTTGCATGGTTGAAGCACAGAGGCCCTTGTGCGCTTAAACATTCATGAACGTGTGGCGTGGTGCTATCACACTAGAGAGCAAATGAGGTCACGACTCCAGAGATC